TTTTTTTTTTTTTTTTTTTTTTTACAGTACATGCCAGCAAGCCTTCTTCAGATAAAGACAGCCTTTGCTCTCCCTTCCCCAAGTAACAAACCATGATTACCTACAACCTTTTGCTTGTTCAGAATCTGCCAATTTAAGCTTACCATCTTTCTGAATGCAAACAAGTGACTGTTCATAAGCCCTAAAATCCTGCACTCTACTCAATATTCTTGCAACCATCTCCCAGATATAAAAAGGCCAAAACACTTCCACTGTGTACCAACCTGTTCTTTCACAACAGACTTGCCTTGGCCACATCTTTGACTTCCCTCTCTAGCCCATTTCCAACTTGCAGTGTGCAGAAGCCAGCGCACTAAACATCCACTGAGACCGCTCTAACAATTCCTTCCTTATACCGAGTGACACGCTGTGTCTGGCCAACACATACCAGTCAGCCTCCTGCTCTATAGGATACATCTCTCTGGCTCCTTTCACCATGTTTCCTCCCCACCCTAACTCTCAGAACAGCACCCTTACAATTGCTGCATCTATAATCTAGACCTCACAAATCTACTGCAGGGACGGGCAATTATATCCGGTGGAGGGCCACTTACTGAGTTTTGACAAGCCATCAAGGGCCACATGACAGGCAGCCAGGGGTAGATATATATTGATTTTCTCCATTTCTTAGGGGCTCCGCGGGCCAGATAGAATGGCCTGGCAGGCCACATCCAGCCCACATTTTACCCACCCCTGATCTACTGGGTAATGCAGTTGTACAAACACGCAACTGCAAGTCATAAAAGCAGTGTTAAATTAATTAATTTTCTTTATGGATGAATATGATACTGTGACCCAAAGAAACAGAGCTCCGTACAGTTCTCTCAATTCTGTTATGGGAGGGAAGGATAATGCATGGCAGTGTTGTTAGCCTTGAGTTTGGACAGTTGGAAGAGCAGTTATTTCTCCTCAAGGTACATTTATAGTGACTGGGTATAGACGTGTCTGAGCTAGCTTTAACCTGGCTAGGTAAGGAAGCTGCAGTGGTCTAACCACAGTGGCTGAGAACTCGGCACAGGCTATTTCACCCCGCCTTTCGAGGCAGGTCTTACAGACCACACCAAGTTCTGTGCTGTGGCTAAGCTGTTTATTGCTACTTCAGCAAATGAATTTAAAGCCAAATCCACGGTACAATGCTGTCATTGCTATAACTAAAGTACAGATGCACTCCTCCCCTGCCCAGAGCAGCCAGTGCTGCATAGAGAGGTTTAGGTAGTGTCTGAGCAGCATGACCTGTTGCTCATCCCTCTTTCCTCTACTAGTATCCATGGTATGCATTATTTTCTATTTATTAAGGGTACTCATAATGGCCCTTATTTCCATAATATTTGAGTATGCTAGTCTCCTTAGACCTTGAATGCATATGGTGAGATAAGACCACAGACAAAACTGAACATTCCTGCTAGAAGTCCACAATAGGGACCATTTTAAGTATTAGCTTCAAGTTAGCCAGAAGTCTTAAAAAGCATGAAGAAACATCAATTCACTGAGTTACAGAACACTTAGAATGTTAGGAAATAGCTATGGTGAGGCACCCAAGACATTCCCCATGGATTTTACTTCAAATACCATTTACAGCTTCCAGCTGAACAGAAATACATTCCCAGTAGAGGTGTACTGTTATATCAGTTGCATACCGGATCTGCACTGATAAATAGAAAATTAACATTATCAGCTATTGGCTTTTTTTAGCTGGTGTAGCCAATGTCACTGATAAATGTGACATGCATGCACACAGTTGCATGCATGGACACAGTGAGAAATGCAGCTGGGTAGCTTGGAGAGCAGCCCCCATGGTGGAGGAGGAGCTGGGGCAGGTGCTGCCTGGCCAGGGTGGTGAATGGGACTCCAGGGCCAGGAGAGGGATGGAGCCAGGCAGCTCGTCTGGGAGGTGCGCCCTACAGCAGGGGGCTCCCAAGGAAAAGGCAGCAGAGTAGAGTGCCCCAAGCATGGGTGGCACTAGGGGGGGCTATAGCCACTCCACAGTCCACCTTAGCCCTCACATAGCTACCCCAGCCAGTGCCACCACTGCCTGCCTCATGCAACTGAGCCTGCTCTGCTCCTGCCTGTGCTCAGCCCAGCCCCTCACCAGGAAGAAACTGGCGCTGCCCCTGGCGCTAAGCTCATTGTGGGCAGCCTGCCTCCACCCCATACACAGATTGGGGGGGGGGGTGGCACATGCCCCCCATGCCTCACCCAAGGGTGCATACAGCTGTACAGGGATGACCATTCCCCCTCACCATGTTCCCTGGATGAGCCAC